CGATAAATAACAACTGCAGATTTCATGAATTGAGGGACGAAATGAATGACTGCAACATAAAATTGTGAAGACATAAGATAACATCGTTATACTATCTTCAACCGAGTCAAACAAAAACGATTTTCTTCCTTTAATAATTTCAGCGAGCAAAAAATAATACATACACGCCCTTAAATTATTTTAACATTTCCGTTCTTCTAAAACACATCTACCGATTATTTACCATAAATACATAAAATCCGCAGTCTCCTCTTTAACTAAAAATTCCATCTAAATTCATTCTACGCCGATTTGGCATAATCCCGTGACGAACATTGTCCGCCATGCATCCAACGAAGGTCTCGATCCCCGAAAAATCGGCCGGCAATCCGACGAACCGCGTCGCGGTCCAATAAAACAGCTTTAATAACTCGGTAATGACCGGGCCAGCCACCGTGGCCGAAACGGGAAACGCAATTTCCACGAGGATATCCAGTTAACACGCCGACATAATGGACTTAATAACAACCGCGGCGGCGTCTAACAATCCTAAAATGAAATTTTTCGGACCGCCGGCCGTATATAAAAGCCGGCTAAACCCGTAATTAAAAGACCCGTTCTTATTGGCGTCAAACGAAATTGCGTCCCGGGCGAAGATCGCATTCAAATGTTCAACGGCGACGACCCCCTAATCTCCGCTCCGCAACGCTTCGCACCGCTTCGCACCGCTCCGCTAAAAATTCGTCCGCGGACCCGGGCTCTCGGGACGCAATCAGCCTGGAACGTGCGCGACGATGAACGACGTTTGATTAATTGTATGCAAATGCCGGGTGACGACACCGCGACGGTTCTAGAGGCTTCGCCGGAAAAACGCATCTGCGGGCTTCTTTGGAAAGGTCGGACGAGCCGTTTCGAAAGAGGATTTCGTCAGACTTTCAATCGCGTCTGAAGCATTCTTCCGCGTTATGTGCCGCTGTTCGATCGTCCGGGAAGATGGAATCACGTCTTGTCGAATAATCGCGGGATCTTTCCCATTGTACGAATATGTGGGGCGTTTCATAATTAGTGGCACAAATTGGGACGGGTCGATTCTACGAAATAGGACGAAAATCGAGAATAACGAGATTGCGTGGGAGGCTTCGTTTTCGAGGAAATCGACTTTAAATGTCATCCGAATTGGTGCGTTTTGAACAATATTAACGTGTACAATAGAAACAATAGAAACGATAGAAACGATAGAAAATAATAAACTAAATAAATGAAAATAGTAAACTAAATGAATGAAAACAGTAAACTAAATGAATGAAAATAGTAAACTAAATGAATGAAAACAGTAAACTAAACAAATGAAAATAGTAAACTAAATGAATGAAAACAGTAAACTAAATGAATGAAAATAGTAAACTAAATGAATCAAGACAATAAACTAAATGAATGAAAACAGTAAACTAAATGAATGAAAACAGTAAACTAAATAAATGAAAATAGTAAACTAAATGAAAGAAAATAGTAAACTAAATGAAAGAAAATAGTAAACTAAATGAATGAAAATAGTAAACTAAATGAATGAAAACAGTAAACTAAATAAATGAAAATAATAAATAAATAGATAACCTTTTATCTATAATTGTTGAACGCGATATAAATATTTCTGCACAATAAAAACACTTTTAGCGAAGCCAATACATTTCCAAAGAAGACTTCGAGCAAGTCTTTTTAATCGAACTAGCGAAAAAATTCCATCTTCACTGGAGATTTCAAGAGATGAAAAGAGATTTCTATTCTCCAAGAATTTCCAGTTTCAAATAAATAATATTCATAACATAAATGAATAATAATTGAAGTAAATTCTCCCCAATTTTCCTTCAGCTGATGAACAAAAACGCACAATTTTTTCCTCCTCGGGAAAAACAGATACGATTAATCGAGCCTTGCACCTCGTTTTCATAATTGTCAACGATCAACAACCATAACTAACAACGGAGGCTCGAATAATCGTACCTCCTCTTCCCAAATCGTCCACTTTTGTTCACAAGCAAAAGGAAAATTGCGAAGAATCGAACTGCATCGAATCGAATCGACGAAGCGTTTTCGATCGACCGAACGCGAAACCGTGGCGAAACGTCCGATTTGTTGGCCGACGTTGCAGCGTTCGGTTCGCCGACCAGCCGCAGTTGTGCAATTCGAGCCCCGAGCGACGGAAAACGAGCGGCTCCGATCGGACAAAGGGTTAAGTCGTTAGAATTACGGACGTCGCAGCCGCGACACGACACGGGACGTCGTTAATTTCGGAATAATCGTCGCGTATCGACGCGCGAGCCGAGCCGAGAGAGAGAGAGAACGGTCCCGCGCTCCAATTTAATATGGAAATCCTACTGCGCCCTATCGAGAAAATCAATTACGTCTAATGAATACAACATGAAGGGTTAAAGGGTTCGCCGGGAATCCGCGCGCACTTTTCCATCAGACGGCTGTATGCAGCCGGGGCCCGAGGAGCTTCGGGATCAAATTTTCGTAGCCGGCGAACACGATTTGTCAAAGAGTTAATGGCCGCGACAGATTTCATCGAAGACGATTTTATTAAACCGTCCCGGCGCCCCGTGAGCGACATACTCGATAAGGATAATTGGACCCGGTGTCTTGCGATTTAAAATCGGCCCTCGAATTTTTACCGAACAGACGAGATAGTATTAACCAGTTAGCATACTCGTCATGACAGAAAATATTGCCATTTCTTCTTGACGAGTATACTCGTCGGACAAAGCTAACTGGCTCAAACGGAGGCAAAATGTTTATACTTGTTTTTTGAAATATTTTTGATCGGCTGACTTATTTATGGACATTGAAAGATGTTACAAAATTAAATGCAAGATTGTGTAGAATTCAAAATTATTCTCCGTGTATTTTGTATGAAATAGAAAATACTGTACAAGAAGAACAGAAATAACTAATAAAATAGTGTACTATTGTTCAGTATTTTTCTTCAGGAAACAGTTTTTCAAGAATGTAAAATGACTGTCTCGATAGATTGATATGTTAAAGCTTGAATTACGATTTTTAAATCAGTTTAAAAAAGATTACAATTTCAGTCGAATCGAATGAAATTGAAATAAACCTGTTTTTAAAAATCAACGAACCCTAATTGCATTCTTCGAAAATAAATTCCATCGTTCTCGGAGCAAAATGTTATTAGAATAACATAAAATGTTCAAGCAAAATTGCATCCTCGGAAAACCTCAAAGAACAATTCATTTGTTCAGTCGATTCTCGACATCGAACATGAAAGCTATTCGAATCGTACACCTTTTTTTTTAAATCAAACGAGAAGCATGAAAACTGAGAGAATTTCTGTGGCCGGAATATTTCAATTAAAAAATGAAGAAGAAAACTTGCTCTCGGCAACAGCCGGGCACTGCGTTGCTCAAGCTTTGGAAATGTTTCTGTTTGGACAGCAGGGAAGCGTGGAACGGTACATTACGCACGTCTGAGATCACGTCGGATCTCACGGTGTTTTTTTATCAGCGGCAGTAAAAGTTGAACGGCGTGCGGGGACAATCGAACTCGAGGCGACAAATAAAGTTTCCGCCGGCGGAGGCGCAACAAACTCCGTGGTTATTGAAATGTTTCAATAACCCAGAACGGAGAGTGTAACGAACGGGAAAGGCAATTCCGGGATTTAATGAACGTCCTCTGCCGGTGCGTAAAAAAAGAAAAAAAAAAGAACGTGATATAATTACCGCGCATTGTTAGTCGTGGCTGAAAGGAGCGCGGAACTTTGACGGGATATTTTAATCGGAAACTAACGAGCTGCCTCGATTCGGGCTCCTAGATGCTTGCTAAAGCGCTTCACACGTTACGACTTATTCTATTACGCGACGCGTCTAATGAATACAACATGAAGGGCTTAAAGGGTTCGGCAAAAATCAGCGCGCGCGCGACCACCCTAACGCCGCGGGAACTCGCGTAAGCGAATTCATGGCCGAGTGGCGCGAATGGATACCTTTGATGTCGGGACGCAAATAGGGCAAATTGCGTTTTCAGAAATTCAATTAATTATTTGTTCAGCCGTTCGGTGCTTGCCGGGATAGTTTAATCATAATTAAAATGCGAGGCGAAGTTACGCCTTGAATGGCGAATCCTCTGTTCTTGCGTCGGCCATTTTGTTGCTTCTATTTCTGACGTTGCTTCTTCGAGAAGTTATTTTAATTACTATTCATTATTTCGATCACTAGGTATTAGTTAGTAATTACTTTAATTAGTGGACCGATCGGTTACTTTCAGTATATATTAATCCCTTGATATTTCAGTTTTTTCGCAGTTATTGCGATTAGAAATTTTTCGATTGCGATGAGTTCTTAGAAAATTTACTTGAATGCTTAAATATTGATGACATGAGAAATTTTATTTCATTTTTAAAGGTTATAATAACGTCTGTAATCAATAAGTTATTAGTAGGAATTTTTACGAGTCGGACTCGTTGAAATTGGGCAAGGGGTTAACATAAATTAAGTAAATATAGGTATAAAGGGTTAAACGGTATATTAGTGCTGTTATTCAGAAGATTTTTAAACTTTACGAAATATAAAAACATGAAATATAAATATATTTATAGATTTATGAAATATAAAAATATGCAATATAAATATATTTATAGATTTATGAAATATACAAATTTGCAATATAAATATATTTATATATTTATGAAATATAAAAATATGTACACTATAAATATAATATATTTATATATTTACGAAATATAAAAATATTAAATATAAATATATTTATATATTTACGAAATATAAAAATATGTACTATAAATATAATATATTTATATATTTACGAAATATAAAAGTATTAAATATAAATATATTTATACATTTATATGAAACATAAATACATTTATACACTTCTATCAAAGACACTCATAAACCATAAAAGCTCAGGACAAAAAATGATTTGCAATAATTATTTCTCCGCGAAAGGGTTGAACGACCGATGGAAACAAGGTGAAACGGACTTACCTTCGCCGGATCAGACTTCTCGGACTCCTCGTTGAAGGTCTGCGATCCTCTGGACATGGTGTTCCTACGGGGTGTGGTGGTGCCATCTTGCGAGGGGCGCACGAACTCGATTCGACCGCCCTCGACGACGATGTTAGGGGCTGGCGGGAAATTTTCCGCGTTACCGACCGGGTCGCAGTAGCCCAGCAGCCCCGCTTTCTCGCCGTACAGGGGGTGAATTTGTCTGCAACAGTCGGTAAAGCGTTAGTTTCGCTTAGGGGTTGGAATCGCGGGGGTTGCGACGGCAGCAGATATCTTGCCACCGACGATAGTGCACCCTCGTAGTCGCTTTTCGCGATGCAATCGCGTTATCGGTAAGCCACCCAGCTAGCAGACACCTTTTTATCCGTCGTCGAGTCAATATTCGAGGGGTGAGTCCGTGACTCATCGATGATTGCATCATTTGTACGCAATCTTGCAGTAAGCAACAACAAAGCTGTATTTAGCAACAAAATATGTGCAGCAGAGTTTTTAATTTTATTTTAGCAGAGGGTGTTTTTTAATTAAGGAATAACGTCCCCTGTTTTAGCATCTAATAAATAATTATTAATGTACAATTATTGCTTGCGAATTTAGGCCATGCGTGCGAATTAGAGCCATTTTAAATCACGTCGGTATTAATAATATACATATAATAAAAATTTTATTTTAACGTTAGCTCGAGATATTTTATTCCTATTTTATTTTCATGAAACAATCGAGAAAAATGAGAATTCGCAGAAGGATCAGCGATCCAATGACAGCGCAAATCATTCAGAATAATGCAGCTTGCTCCAAATGCATGAAATACGGTGAAATAGAAAAAGGATTAGACAGTTATTAAATACGGTAATGACGTACGCGCGATGAATAATTCACAACGGGCGCAGCCGACTTGGCGTAATTGAATAGCATTGTTAAAAACCGTCTATTGTCCTAAACCCCGTCGATTCGTCACGGTTATCTCACCCCGGAATCGCGAGAAAATTAAATGTCTTTCGTTAACGATCCTATACACGGCATACAACTCGTTCGCTATTCTTCTCCGAGGGGGAGGGGAGGGGGCGAATCGAATCACAAACTCGCGATTAATTCGCGCGGTGAAACTGTCGCGAGCGTTGCCGGACAATTTGTATGCCGCGCGGCGCTCGATCGGATACAATCGAATTTATTACACGGCGACGGACGAAAACAGCGTTTGATCGGATAACGTAGTCGCGGAACGCGCGTTACCCGGTAACGACGTTAAAACGTGATTTACGCTTAGCCGGCCGGCCGATAAATTATCTTTCGCCGAGTGTTTCGGCGGAACGCCGCGAGTGTTTAAAATTCGCTCGTTCGTGAGTCATTGCGGGCATGCGTCTTCTTTGCAATTGGAAACGCTTTCGCGATCCGGGCTTGATGCGGAAACGACGGGTAACAAAGGGAGGACCGAGGAACATAATCGCGCCGCGGCGGGACGATTAATTGCGAGCGGTTTTGCCGATTTATTAATCGCGAGCGCGAACAATGAACCTCTAATTTTGTCGTAAGAATGCACTTTCGATGGGTCGATGTACTATAATATTATATTTATTTAGGGTAGATAACAGATCTTTGATGGAATATGCGAATTATTAAATGTAAACTTAAATATAAAGATGAGAATAAAAATAAAAATAATGGAAATAAAAATCTAGCTTTGCAATCGGTAATTTTTAGAATATATAATTGTGTATTTGATTTTATACTTTTATAAAAATGTTAGTACTGTGTACATTTAATTTTCTAATTTCAATATATAAAATATAAATATATTGTATATTCAATAATTTCAATTATTACGATAACTGCACTTGTATGATAACTGCAAGACTATGCCAACTCGACCAACTCATGCTAAATTAATCTGAAAACATAAATTCACTGTTTCAATTGCAGGCATTAAAATTGTTAAAAGACCATTCAATGTTCCGCAAATCAATTCAAATTGACGTTTGGAGCACGGTGTGTTGCGCGTTCAACGGGCGAATAAAAAGCTGAACAAGGAAACGGCACGCACGAAACGGCCGGCTTTTAATCGATTAATAGAATTGCAGTCGAATGTACCGGGTTGAGGATTTCCCTAAAATTTCTAGCGACAGCTTCTTGATGTGGTCACAACGGGCTAAAAGCTGCGCCGACAGATGAAGCAAAAACGACGCCCGCGGAATTGGATTAACTCTAGTTGAATTTCCGCGACAGACACCCGCCATTAAGATTAAAAAAGGCGGGGATCGCGGTTCAACCCTTTTTGCTCCCCTCTCTCTCTCTCTCTCTCCCTCTCTCTCGCTTTTTCAGGGAGCGTTGGCGCAGACGAGCAAAAATGTTTCGCAACCGTGCGCCCCGTTAACGACGCGAAACTTCAGGATTGTGATTAACACGTAATGCCCTTTCCGCAGTCAATTAGTGTACTTCTGGAGGGAAACTTGTTCATTACCTTCACTTATTAAAACGTGCCGTAACTTTCTCGAGCTTGATTCCCCATTCAACGAAATTTCGCCCGCTCCGTATCCAGCCGATCCATAGTTTATCAACCGTGTCTCCGCTCGCGCGCTTCCCCTCTTTTCGCTCGATGCAAAGAAACTATAGCTTTCGTTCTAATGAATATGGGATAAGCGTAGTTATTGCCGAGGCTTCTTTGACGCCTTTTCGCCTCTGAGAGGCGAGCTTTGAACAGAGAAAACAGGACCTTTTTATCCGCCGATAAATTGACAACTCGAGCTACATCGATCATTCTTTAACTTGTGCCTTTACGTTTCTCAAAATATTGCATCTCCTGAAGCACGAATTTCATTAAAAAGCGTAACGCAAAGAAACCATACCTTCGCATGACCCATTTTGGCGCATGATTCAGTCTAGTGAAGCTATTCTAGCGGGCCCTTGCTTTAGACGTTTTCATATTCACGCGTCACAGTAATGTACACACGTAGTAAAACACTGAAAACTATGCAGCAAATACTGCGAATATATTTAAGGATAGATAGCAGCGACAGTGCACGTCGATTTTTTAATCTAAAAATAACGCTAGCACGAATAGTCCGTGTTTCACGTTCACGTTTTCATAAGCCTGCGAATATCGAAAGTCGACAAATGAATTGAAATTGCGATTGCTATCGCTCGTTCGTCATAAATGATGAATATTAAATCATCAATATGTATATCATTATGTACATAATTATTTACAATATCAATATTATGCGAAGACACCCTGTATAGAAGCGGTGTTTCATTTTCCCAATTCAATTTTCGATTCACGGTTTTCCCAATTTCGGCGGCGCAGCAATTTCGATCGGGCGAAGCATCGCGGCTGCACTTTAGAAACGGGAGCACGCTAACTGCACCCTTTCGGCCGCGTAACAAGTGTCTCTTACGCAATCGTCTCTTGATCGTCAAAGCGGAATTATGCGGTACGAGCCCGATTAATCCGAGACTCGTGCAAGCGGAGCGCGCGCATAATCGACAGGAGAGCGCGGCGATAAATTATAAACTCTCGATAGAATTTCTCCGAGCAGTTCGAAAGTAAAGTTTTCCCGCCGCGAAATTCAGCGAGCACGAAATTCTCCGCGCTTTTTACGATCACGATCGGTTTCGACGAATTTTCTCTGAAACAGCTGCTGGTCGCGATCGCCGGTCAAACGCTTCGAAAGAATCCGGACGAACCGCGGACTTTCGGCCCGTGACGGGCTCCGATCCGAGGCTCGACGCGAAAATTTCCCGGTTAACCCCTTAACGTGCACGCTCGAGTTAACTCGAGCGCGCTAAACTGGCCAAACTGTGCACGCTCGAGATAATTCGAGTGGCGTTGTACTTTATGTTGCTATAATTTTTCACACTCGAATGCAATCGAGAATTGAAAATAACAATGTGAAAGCAAAAAAAAACAATCGTTTCATTGATATTTATCATTTATTATGGGATTGTAAGCTATATAACACTTACTTATTCAAGTATAAAATATATCCTTTTTCTACTTATCACTTATGACTTGTCTCTTTCTTGCGAGCCGCTTTCCGACAGCGTATTCATATTCAGATTCTGATTCGCTCGTTTTTCAATATATATTTTACTAAAATATAATGTAAAATAAAATATAAATATAATAATAAATATTATAAATACTAGCATTGTTATTATTTATGTTTTAGAAGTGTAAATAAATATTTTTACTGATAATAATGTTTATTCTGAAATGGGAATTCGAAAAGAAAGATAAAAAAAGTCGATGTGCGTGTAATATTACAATATTCGACTATTTTCTCTCTCTGCAATGTTATCAAAATCCAAAATTGCAATAAAGATTTGGATTATTTTTGTATTTTTGTAATTTTCTTGCCGAGACAACGTTCTAAATTGTGTTTTTTTTACATTAAAAAAATTGATTTTTTTCGACCGGCCTTTTTCAAAAAAACTGTGCATTAAGGGGTTAATCAGGTTAAAAGCGCCGCAACGGGCGGCGTGACACGGCTCGCGCGACGTAAGCTGACATCACCCTAACGCGTTACATATGTCGGACACGTGGAATCAATGCGCCGTTGGGCAACCGGAAAGCTGACCAACTAACAGTCTAGACGCTGACAAAGGCACTTAAACGATTCTTCGTCTATGTCACCGCCGTAATTTCCATCCTTCGCGCGGACCTGACACGATCCGCGCCGCTTCTTTGAGCCGAGCGAGTCCGCGATGTAACCAGCCACAGATTCGCCGCGCTGTGCCGCGGCACCCTAATCGCTGGACGGACATTCGTGCGGGACAACAATTAACCGAGACGGCTGCGAGAAACAGAAATTAAATAAGAATAAATTGCTTCTTTTAGTCGATTTAATAAAACGAGAATATAGCGTAACACTATGTTACACATTGTCGTTACATTGTCACATTGTTAAATTTTTCTTATTTATTCAGGATTTTATATTTAAAATTTGATATTTCATTTTTGTATGAAAACGCGTATTGCTGTTGTCATTAGTGCAGTCTAGGAATCGCTAAACTGCGGATCTTTATTGTAAATAAGAATTGTCTGCATTTGTTGCAAAGGCATTATAGAATTTTCATTATTTCTTCAGCAATTTTAGTACGTCGAAGCTAGTAGGTATTTATTTTTTTAATAACTTTAGTAAATTATATATAATACTAATAATTTTACTAAATTATATAAATACTAATAATTTTATTAAATTATATATA